TCACCCCCATCCCAGGCACCAAGAAGACTTTCCACATCAAGCAGATGTTCACCTGCACATCTGCCAATGTGGTATACTGCATCTGCTGTACCCGGTGTGGCTTCGTCAGCCTTTCTGCTCCTATGATGCTGCTTGGCCTGCTGTGTTCATCCAGCCCTGCGCCTTGTTGTCTCGGATTCTCCAGCATCTGCAGTTCCTACTATCTCTGATACAATATTTTAGGTGTGGCCTCACCAAGGCCCTGTATAACTGCAACAACACATCCCTACCCCCGTACTCAAAACCTCTCGCAATAAAGGCAAACATACCATTTGCCTTCTTTACTGCCTGCTGCATCTGCACGCTTACTGTCAGCAACTGATGCACAAGGACATCCAGGTCCCACTGCACACTCCCCTCTCCCAATTTACGGCCATTCAAGTAGTAATCTGCTTTCTTGTTTTTGCTTCCAAAGTGAATAACCTCACATTTATCCAAATCATACTGCATCTACCATTGATTTGCCCACTCACCCAACCTGTCTAGATCAAATGGATCGAGATAATCGCTCAAGGTGATCTGCATTACTTTTGATGATGCCTTTCTGTTTGTGCAAACTGATTGCCAACTGTTTACTACTGGCAGCCATGCCTTCAGTTGCTTAGGTTCAGGATTCTTCTTAAAATCTTCCTGTGATCCAGCTTCAGTCATCTGACTAATATTTCCTAATTGGATTGATGCAAAATTTTGTTTGATAACGCCCCTTTGGAGTGCATTGAGGCTTCTTATTATGTGGAAGGTGCTGTATAAATGCAGATTCACAATTGTGCTGCCTGTTACCCCTTGCTGGGTTGCAATGGCACAAATAATTGGAAATGTACCGTGTGACAGCTGCATAGCTGTGATAGGACAGCTGATGGTAAGGTTTTGCACAAATGTGAGTGACTGATGGATTTACTTTAATACATTGTTGATGAGTGTCAACTTTGTGTCCGGAGGACTGAAAACTGTCAAGTTGGCTTTTGGGCTGTGGATCTTCATGAATGTTATTGGATCTTCCTACTCTCCTTCCTTAAGGCATCAGCCAGCACATTACAATGTTTCTTCTCTGTTTTGTTAGCCACCGGTGTTACTCACTGAAGGCTCTGAATTGCTGCTGTCAATTCATGGTTAATGTGGGGTCAGTAAGCTTGGTTGGTTGGTTTCCGATACGGAGTGATGCCAACAGCATGGGTTCAATTCTTGCGCTGGTTGAGCTTATCATGAAAGTCTCTTCTTCTAACCTCACCTCTCACCTGAGGCCTGGTGACCCTCAAGTTAAACCACCACCAGCTGTCTCTCTCTGTAATGAAAGAGTAGTCCTCTAGTGTAGGGGTGTTCCAAACTCGAGGGCATAATTTTAAGGTGAGAGGAAAAAGATTTAAAAGAGACCTGAGTGGCAAGTAGAGGAAAGGTTTAGAGGGATATGGGCCAAATTCAGGCAAATGGGACAAGTTTAGTTTGGCATGAACGAGTTGGACTGAAGGGTCTGTTTCCGTGCTCTATGATTCTATGCCTGTGGGACTATGGTTAACATAGCACTAATGTCCCTTCAGAGTTATGAGTGTGCTAGTTCTGATTTAGCTGCAGGGATTTTGTTCACACCTGTGAAGAGTTAATCTACTGACATTTACTTTTGAAATAGGTAATTACATACGGTCGAATTTGAATATGCCACCGATTCTACCTCAGAGAAGTGGCGGCTACCGGGACTATGAGAAAGATGCTCCCATCACTGTGTTCGGCTGTGCACAAGCTAGGCTTGTCGGTGAGTTAATTCTGTCAACACTTTTGAATCATTTATAACATGGTTAATGTTGTTCGTTTAATAGTTTGCCCATTGTCCCTAACCATATTAGCTCTCCTATGCCATTTTAACTTTTTGCTCGTGCTACAACATGGAAGGTCTGGAAATGTTATTCTCTGCCTCCTCATCACTTTTTCCTCGAGGCAGCTGTGTTACAAAGAGAGCCTTAGTATGATCCCATTCGATTTTGGTTGCTGCGTTTTGAGATAGACGTATTGGCATCAGAGTAAAAACAATTCTCCTCCACTCCCATCTAATTCTTCTTGCAGTTACATTAAATCTGTGCCTCCTGGTTCTTCGCCTGTATGTTAAGAAAAATAGCTCTGTCTTATTCACTCCATCTTGCCCCCTAGTTATTTTATATCGCCTAATTATTGCCTTTCAGCCTTCTCTGTTTCAAAGAAGGCAATGCCAACAGATTCAGTCGGTGCTCTTAACTGATCTTTATTAATCAGATTTCAACCCAGGAAAATGCAGTGATTTTAATGATTGTGAGTAAAGGACTTTATTGCTTATTCGCTCTCAGGACAGTCTGAGAAAAATGATTCCTTTGGGATGTTTTATAACTGTAATGATCCCTGTTGAAAATGCTGATGCATCCTATGCTTTGGCAGCTTGTGAAAAATTTATGACTTTAATTGATTTTAAATAAAATGTGTGGTCCAGTTTCATGAACAAAACTGTTCAGTGCTCTATCTGTGACAGTGACTCCACATGTCATGAGAAGTGGACAAAACAAGAGATAGCTGACTGTTAGATAAGTGTCAATGAGTGGGACTAATTGGTAGCTCTTTCAGAGCCCAGGCACAGGCATGATGGTTCTGAATGGCTTTATGAACTAGTTAGGCTCTAGCAGCGAAAGATCCAAAAGGAATCGACCTAAAAGCTTTAATTCAATTTCTTTCCTAATTTTGAGGAGCAGTAGGGTGGTAAATTCAAGGAGAGTCTTGATGATCAATAGGTTCAGAGACATAGTCTCTTAATATTTTAAAAATGCTGAGTTATCTTCCTGCTTTTTGAATTATTCAATCAATACCCATCTCAGCCAGTTTAATAATTTAAAATCATAGAATCATACAGCACAGAAGAAGGCAATTCTGTTCAGCATGTCTGCACTAGTTATGTTGGAAGATTGTCTCTGATTAGTCTCAAATTAGTCACTGCATTTCACATTGATCCGAAAATTTTTCTTGTTCCAGTATTACCTAAGTATTCCCATATTTATCCAAAGTTTTGTTTGATAACATCCCTATGGAGTGCATCGAGGCTTCTTATTATGTGAAAGTTGCTGTATAAATGCAGGTTCACATTTGTGCTGCCTCTCACCTCTTGCTTGGCTTGTAATGGCACAAATGATTGGAAATGTACCACGTGACATATGCGTGGCTGTGATAGGACAGCTGATGGCAAAGCTTTGCACAAATGTGAGGGACTGATGGAGTCACTATGATACATTGTTGATGAGTGTCGACTTTGTACCCAAAGGTTGAAAGACTGAAAAATCGTTAGTTGACTTTTAGGTTGTGGATTGTTATGAATATTATCGAATCTTGTTACCCTTCCTCCTTAAGGCAACAACCAGCACATTGCAAAACTGTCAGTTGACAGTTACTATTGATCCTGATTCCAGCACCCTTTTAGGTATTACATTCTACATCATTTCAACTTGCTGCATCATATAATTTCTCCATAACTGCTCCAGCAAAACCTCTCATGATTTTGATCCTTTTCTTTTATGGAATGTCAGCACCACTGGCAAAGCTGGCATTTGTTGCCCAACTCTAATCTTGCTTGACCTGAGTGGGTCTCTAGGCCATTTCTGAGGGCAGTTAACAGTTGGCCACATCGCAGTGGGTCTGGAGTCACATGTAGATCAGACAAGGTAAGAAAGGCAGATTTACTCCTTAAAGGACGTTAGTGAACCAGATGGGTTTTTACGAAAATGGTTACATGGTCACCATTGGTAATGCTTTTAATTCCAGGTTATTATTGAATCAAATTTCAATCTGTTGTGTTGGGGTCTGACCATTGTCCTAGGGCTCTGAATTACAAGGCCAAGTGACAATACCACAAGACCATCACCTTCCCTTGAATAACTCTACTTCATCTTCCTTCAACCATCTCTGATCTCTTGGGACTTAGAACATAGAACATAGAACAGTACAGCACAGTACAGGCCCTTCGGCCCATGATGTTGTGCCGAACTTTTACCCTAAACCTAAGGTCTATCTAACCTCCACCCCTACCTTATACTATCATCCATATGCCTATCTAATTGCCGCTTAAATGCCCCTAATGAGGCTGACTCCACTACCCTCTCCGGCAATGCATTCCAAGCCCCTACCGCTCTCTGAGTAAAGAACCTACCTCTGATGTCTCCCCTATATCTACCTCCATTCACGTTAAAACTATGCCCCCTCGTAATAGCTACCTCCACCCTAGGAAAAAGTTTCTGGCTGTCCACTCTATCTATACCTCTGATCATTTTGTACACCTCTATCAAGTCACCTCTCATCCTTCATTGTCCTAAAGAGAAAAGTCCTAGCTCTCTCAACCTTTCCTCGTAAGACCTTCCCTCCATTCCAGACAACATCCTGGTAAATCTCCTCTGCACTTTTTCCAATGCTTCCACATCTTTCCTGTAATGAGGCGACTAGAACTGGACACAATACTCCAGAAGTGGCTGAACCAGGGTTTTGTATAGCTGGAGCATAACTTCACGGCTCTTGAACTCAATCCCTTTATTAATGAAAGCTAACACACCATATGCCTTCTTAACAACTCCATCCACCTGGGTGGCAGCTTTCAGGGAACTGTGGACATGAACCCCAAGATCCCTCTGCTCCTCCACACTGCCAAGAATCTTTCCATTAACCCTGTATTCTGCTTTCAAGTTTGTCCTTCCAAAATGAATCACCTCACACTTTTCAGGGTTAAACTCCATCTGCCACTTCTCAGCCCAGCTCTGCATCCTATCAATGTCCTTTTGTAACCTAGAACAGCCCTGCGCACTATCCACAACTCGACCCACCTTCGTATCGTCCGCGAACTTACTAATCCACCCTTCCAATCCTACATCCAAATCATTTACAAAAATCACAAATAGAAGAGGACCCAGAACAGATCCTTGTGATACACTACTCGTAACTGAGCACCATGTTGAATATTTTCCATCCACTACCACCCTTTGTCTTCTAAGGGTCAGCTAATTCTGAATCCAATCTGCCACATTTCCCCCTATCCTATGCCTCCTTACTTTCTGCATGAGCCCACCATGGGGAACCTTATCAAACGCCTTACTTAAATCCATGTATACCACATCCACTGCTCTACTTTCATCCACGTGTTTGGTCACCTCTTCAAAGAATTAAATAAGGTTTGTGAGGCATGATCTACCCCTCACAAATCCATGCTGACTATCACAAATCAAACTGTGCCTATCCAAGTGATCATAAATCCTATCTCTGAGAGCCCTTTCCAATAATTTCCCCACCCCTGAAGTAAGACTAACTGGCCTGTAATTTATGGGGTTATCCCTATTCCCTTTGTTGAGCAAGGGAATGACGTTTGCCACTCTCTAATCTTCTGGCACTATACCCGCAGACAGTGAGGACGAAAAGGTCACCGCCAAAGGCCCTGCGATCTCTTCCATCGCTTCCCATAGAATCCTTGGATAAATCCCATCAGGCCCAGGGGACTTATCTATCTTCAAGTTCCTCAAAATGCCTAGTACATCTTCCTTACTAACATCCACCTCCTCTAGCCTATCAGCCTGCTTCACACTGTCCTCCTCTACAACTGGGTCCCTCTCAGTTGTGAATACTGAAGAAAAGTATTCATTAAGGACCTCTCCTATCTCTTTAGGCTCCATGCACAAATTCCCTTTACAATCCTTGATTGGCCCTACCCTTTCTCTGGTCATTCTCTTATTCCTCACGTATGTGTAAAAAGCCTTGGAGATCTCCTTGATCCTATCTGCCAAGGTTTTCTCATGCCCCCTTATAGCTCTCCTAAGCCCTTTCTTCAGCTCCTTCCTGGCTAACTTGTATCCCTCTAGAGCCTTTCCCGATCATTGTTTCCTAAAACTTATATAAGCATCCTTCGTCCTCTTAACTAGTCTTTCGACCTCTCTCGAGAACCAAGGCTCCCTCATTCGACCGCATCTTCCCTGCCTGTTAGGGACAAACATGCAGTATGCATTCCTTAAACAATCTCCACATTTCTATAGTGGTCTTCCCTGACAGCATCTGTTCCCATTTTATGTTACCCAGTTCTTGTCTAACAGAATTATAATTACCCTTCCCCCAATTATAAACCTTACCTTGCTGTATGTACCTATCCTTTTCCATGAATATTGTAAAAGTAACAGAGTTATGATCGCTACCACCAAAATGCTCTCCTACCAGCAGGTCTAACACTTGGCCCGGTTCATTGCCAAGCACCAAATCCAAAGTGGCCTCTCCTCGTGTTGGTCTATCTACATACTGTGTCAGGAATCCTTCCTGAACGCACTGGACAAAATCCGCTCCATCTAAACTATTACAACTAAAAAGTTTCCAATCAATATTTGGAAAGTTGAAGTCACCCATGACTACAACCATGTGAATTCTGCACCTTTCCAGTATCTGCCTCCCAATCTGCTCCTCTACTTCTCTGCAACTATTAGGGGGTCTGTAAAAAGACCCCAACAAATTGACTGCTCCTTTTTTGTTCCAGACCTCAACCCGAACTGACTCTGTAGACATATCATTCTCGAGCTGCCTTTCAGTAGCTGCTATACTAGCCCTGACTAGCAATGCCACTCTGCCGCCTCTTTTACCACCCTCTCTATTTCTTTTAAAGCATCTCACCACTTCTCCATTAAGTCCTTCATCCTTGGTACCATTCTCCTCTACACCTTTTCTAAGTCCTTGGCACCCTACCTGAACTTCAGCAGAATTAGACAAACTTATCCAATTGCGGTTTAACCTGTGCTTTATGAAGTGTTTTGGAAACTTCCTTGGTTTTGTTCTCTGTGTTTGTTTTAAAGCCTTTTTTCTAACTACCTTCTCGATTTGTTCTGTCACTTTCAAAGATTTGTGTACATACATTCCCAGATCTCCTGGTTCCTGCATCTTCTTTAAAATTATACCAATTGTTCCCCTCCAAGCCACTCACCATTCTAACTTGGAAAAATATCGCTGGGTCAAAATCCCGGAATTTCCTCCCTAACAGCATTGTGGGTCTACCTACAGCACATGGGTTGCACCGGTTCAAGAAGGCAGCTCATCAACACCTCAAGGGCAACTGCGGACAAGCAATAAATGCTGGCCAGTCAGTGATTCCCACGTCCCATGAGAGAATAAAAACAAATTATATTGTTCCTTTGTTTTAAGTGCAAATTTGACTTAATTACCTGAACTGTAAGTGCCATATTTCTGCTGCACTTTGTGTATACCTCAGTCATTACTGGAGCAGCCAGGTAGCCCACAGAAATTACAAACAGCCCAATAATGGAGTAACTAGATGTACAGCATTAGCTGAAATTGGCTGATTTAGTACTGACCGGGCTAGTGAAGTGACAGCATTGCACTGCTGTATGGTTCAGTACCACAGCTGCACTTACAACTATTTAATGGGGGCGCTCCATTACAAACCACTCCAGTTCAGGATAATGAGGAGAAATTCAAGGAAACCCAAATAAAGTCTTCCTATTCAGAGTTGTTTTTGGATGAATCTGATTGCTGGATGTGTTTGACTTCCAGGCGAGGCTTTACTGGAGAGTAAATCAACCATTGATTACGTCTACTGCTCACCTTCACTACGCTGTGTGCAGACAGCATTCAACATACTGAAAGGTAATGCAACACCTTCCTATGTTCACAAAACCTTTAGTTGCCTCCTCCTGCACAGACTCTGTGACTTTCTGTTAGTACAAAGAAGAAAATGAAACTATCTGCTCTTCTGCATTAGAACTTGTATCTTCACCTCTTGATTTTCGATTCTCTTTTTCATTATGACCAAGTCTTCAGCCTCAATACCCTTGCATCCTTAAATGCTTTTCCCATACCCCTTGGCTTTGGTGCATCTCTTCCTCATCTCATCCCCGACCTTTCAACAGACCCGCTCAAAACATATCTACTTGACACAGGCCCCTTGATCACAGGAATTCAAACCCAGGGAGAGTTTGTCTGTGTGTGGAACTGTACTCTTGGGAAAGTCGGTGTGTGTGGAACTGTACTCCAGGGAGAGTCAGTGTGTGTGTGTGAAACTGTACTCCAGGGAGACTCGGTATGTGTGTGTAACTGTATTCCAGGGAAAGTTGGTATGCTTGTGGAACTGTACCCTTGGGGAAGTGGGTGTATGTGAGGAACTGTACCCCAGGCAGAGTCCATGTGTGTGTATGGAATTGTGTCCCTGGGGGAGTTGGTTTATGTGTGGAACTGTACCCCAGGGACAGTCGGTGTGTGTGGAACTGTACCCCAGGAAGAGTCAGTGTGTGTGCGGAACTGTACCCCAGGGAGGGTTGATGTGTGTATGGAAGTGTACCCCAGGAAGAGTCAGTGTGTGTGTGGAACTGTACCCCAGGGAGGGTTGATGTGTGTATGGAACTGTACCCCAG